ATATATATATATATATATATATATATATATATATATATATTATAGTATATATATATTTTATTATTATTTTTTAAACTGTATATTTCTTCGCTATGTACGTAATACTAAGGGTTTAGGCCCCATTTTGTACATACAACACCTTTACAAATAAAGCCCCAGACATATACCTTCTAGTTGGCACGTCAGAGCCTCCATAGAGACAGTTTCTTGTCTAAAACAAAATATGAAAAAACTGTACATTGTACAAATCAATATTGTAGGCAAGGAATAAAAATAGAATTGATTATTTAATGCAATAGAGTGTGATTTCTTCTTGTTAAAACAACCAAACTGTAGTTGTTATTTTATATAGGATTATTATACTGGAGAAATCCTCCACCAACTTTTGTTTCTGGGCCCTCTTTGTATTACAAGAAACCCATTTATTTATTCAATTCAACCGACCCTCCACCCTCTGATTACACTGCAAGGAAACATATCCCTCCACTTCAGGAACCACTGTTCTAATGACTTTGATTTGGGTTTTGATTGCAGCATAAATCTATTCTCTTAAGAAAAATAGGAAATTCTAACAACTCTGGTTGATGTGAAGTTGGTAAATTTCACTCATCAGATTCACATTTCTATTCCTAACAACAGACTATGAGTGGATATTTGTAAAAAAAAAAAAAAAAAATATCACATTTGTTAAGGTAAAAACAAAATTCCCAGAAGTGTAAACAATGCATTTATCTGCAAAACAAACTGAGAGAGAATCAGAATCTCACCACACTGTAGATTCCTCTAGAGTTCAAAAGCTCAAGAGGAAGATGCCAGAAATGTCCAAAGCTGTCATTAACATTGTGACATTTACAGCAGGTGGTCCTGTGACTCAGCTGTCCTCGAAAGGTCTGAAAACAAAAACCTGTTATTAATCATTACTTCTAGTAAAATTACAGCCTCCTTTTTGACAGAAAATACAGTTTTAACCTTTGCTGCGTCGTCACTGGTCAGCCTTAAAATCTTCTCAAAGTACTCTGCTGCATCTTGCTGTTCATATTCTACATAAAGGGAAAAATAATATTTTGGTTTATTTTATATAGTCTTATTTCTTAACAAAAAACAATTGTTCCTTTTTCCAATCCTGTAAGCATATTCGAAATGAATATACTGGAGGATGCATTTCAAAATATTTGTTGATAAATAATACTATTTCAATAAATATATAATTTTTCGAAATACTTTATTTTTTAGAACATATAGGAGAAAATGTATTGCTTGCAAACTGTACCTCTCTTAATGCCCAGGGCTTCTATGATTTTTCGTGCGTTTGTTTTCTTGTCCTGTAAATTCTTAAATAGGTCTTTAAGATGACGATCAATATAGTGGTCCTTTACTTCCTCAGACCTAAACAAATAAACACAATCATGAATACAACACAGCTGCAAATTACATTTTATTTTCTTGCATAGAGTCAAAGAAGAAAAACGAAAGTACATCGTCTTTGAAAGGGGTTTTATTTTGAATGAAGGGTTTTACATGGAACAGAAATGAATTAAACTATCAAATATTAAGTCCCCAGATTCTACTATGTTACCACACAGTGTCAGTGAACATTTATTTCATCACAAGCAATAACATCAAATGTCCCCTTCACAGTAGCACCTTGGCCAAATTCTTTTGCCATTAAACTGTTTCCTGTTTGGCTATGGCTTTATGTTTAACCCATTTGTAGTTATTTAAAATTGTCTTAAATTTAAACTGTCATTCTGATTATTTTAGATTAACCTAAATATTTTGTTCAGTACCCCGAACCCTTTAACAAGAAAACCCTGGAACATGATTCTTCCACCACCATGCTCAGTTTGTCAGCTTACAGATCAATATGACATTCCTGCCTATGCAATTTATTATGCAAAATCTTCGGAAATTCAAATCCAAAGCCTGTGACTGAAATGTAATGTAATGACTTTAGTGTCTGAATGTGTGCATGTATAGACCCATTCATTTATTCACCCATGAATGACTGAATGTGGTTTTAGAACAGGGGTGGAGCTAGATGGGGGGCCAGGGGTGGCCATGGCATCCCTTAGCCAATCTTTGGCCAAACCTGTGGCCACCCTTAGCCAACCACCCCTACCATTTTTCCCCCTCTAATACAGATGGTGGCAGCAGTAATACTCTCACGTGGAATATTCAAAAGATTTTAGTTTTCATATATTACTTACTCTTTTTTCATATATTAATAATTACTAGACAACAAAAACACTGTGGTTAATTATACACATGAATTTACTAACATTAAAGATGATAAGTACAGAATTCACTCTTTTCAGAACTAGATTTTGTGTTATATAGGGTAAACAGAAAATGATGTGTCTCTGCAAGTCAATAAGAAGTCTTCAGTGAAATCATAGATAAATAACTATTTTAATAAAAACGTATTAAATAATCATTTTTTGTAGATATTAGTACTTGTAAATATCAATTTTATGCAGAATGACTATTGATACAAGTAGGTAAGAAATGAAAAAGGAATTAAATGAATGGAAAAGATATTCACCCCAGAACTCGAATCTGAAAGAATTGTATCTATTATACTTTTATTTAGAAAGCACAGATGTTTAAATATATGCATCTACTTGTTAGGAAAAGCTGCAGGAAAGTATAGTTTGTCTAATCTTTGGCTTGATAACTGAGGTTCTGGTGCCTAACCACTTTCAGCCACCCCTCAGTGGACATTGGTCATCGCCTGGCCATCCTTATAAAAATTATCTGGCTACGCCTCTGCTTCAGGGTCCCCTGACTTGAGGAGGTGCTTTGCTTTATAAGCAAATTTGTCATTGTTCATTTGTCTTAAAGCGAGGATAGTTTGATATATAAACATTGAAAACAACAAACCTGTTCACAGCCTCTTTGAACTCCTTGGTCCTAAACAGAACCTGCAGGATACTGTTTAGGTAGCATGTTGCTCCTTGATTGATCAAGCCGTAGTATGTGGCTGTAAAGAGATTTAAAAAAAAGCATGTTTGAATGGCTAAAAATGCCTAAATAAAAGTGATCCCAAACAATTCGACTACATTTTATTCTTAAATCTTTTCTTTTTATTTATGATACTGAGACTCCTTAACGATGACTCAGACTAATATTTATTATCATTATTATGAAATGTTTATTTTTTTGTTGATTCCTATGATGGGAAATTAAGGTAACATATATGTTTTTAAACGTGGGAGGAAAGCAAAGATTTTGTGATTCATTTTTGCATAAAATACTCTGCCTATGAAGCAGTCATTGAACAAATCTTAGAGCTTTTTCAGGCACATATAAATTACTGGACCACACAATATTTTATGTTTTAAACTCATTACAATTTACACTATTTGTTTTTATACTTGAATGTCAAGATAAAACTAAACATGAAAATTATCTGTGAAATAGAATAAATTATGGGGTACCAGAGATACAGAAAATATTTGACTCCCTAAAACTTCCTGAATGCTTTAAACACCAAATAGTTCAAACATTTGCCAGATAATCTCAAACCTACCTTCTCTTTCAGTCGGCATATTTGGTCTGCTCTGGGGCGCAGTCCATGTACACTGGCAGACCTAACAAACATTACTTTAATGCAAATGTGATTTTGTATAAATTAAGACAAATGTAAGCAAAAATAATTAAAAACACTACAAAAACATTAACCTACCCTCCAAAAAGCGCAGTTCTGGATCCGATAGAACAAAGTTTAGCAGCGTATTGTTTATGTTGAGTTTGAGAAAATACTTTCTCTTTCTATTTATGTCACTACTGCAGGTGGGGGGATGTTGCATTCAAGATGCGTCGGAAATCTTAATTTTAAAGCATAACGCTTCCGAGAAACACATGTAGGCCAAGGGTATAACTTTGTTATCGCTACAAGGTACGTAAGTGAATAGCCACTGTCACTCATATAGGCTAACTTTTTAAAGTGACAGACCCAGAGCCATTAGAGTTAGGAGTCTTACCAAAACCTTTTTTTTTTCCTCAAAGGTTTTTGTTTATTGCAAAAACAAGATAGAAACAATATAGAACATTAATAATTGCAAACATATACAATAAAAAGGGCTTTACAGAACAGAACATTTATTTTAAAATGTCAAAATCAAATCTATGCTCGAGGGTTATAATTCTTTAAGCGCAGTTATAATTTGCATGGCTTTAGCATTTGAACTAAATTTTAAGAATTCTACATAGATTTTAATTGAAAATAATAAAATCTGGAAATAAGGTTCTTGTTGTAAATATTTGAAGGTGTGAATATATTTACCATAAATAATAAAAAAAATGTATAACATTTAAAAATCCTGTTTTGACAAGTTCACATTTCTTAATCCCAAACAAAACATCCTTATCTGTTAAAGTAATTCTAAGATTTTTTTTTGATGAAAAAAAAAAAATGACATATCTGCTATATTTTGGTGTCTAATACCTACAGGGCTCTGGACAGAGCTAGTGACGTCACATCGACAGGCGGGACTTTGGAGCAGCGGGAGAGAGCTCTAAACATAGACAGCTGCGCCCGAGTTTCTTTTGACTACCGGTAAATTAAATGAGCGGAAAGGGGAGCAAGGGTGGAAATTATTCACGTCACAGGTATAACTTCAAAAAGTTATACCTGTGACGTAGGCTGACAATGTTGATAGTGTTTTCATTCAAGCCATTTAGTGCTGTTCATGGGCTTGATTTTTATTATTAAGATCTTTATTGGATGCAGTGTTAAGTTAGTTTTAGTAGAAATACCTTCAAATAAACAAACAAGCAGATTAAAATCACACTTTTTAAATATATCAAATAAGATAATACTGCTTGGAGAATAATATATTTGCCTTCAATCTGGAAATATTTGGATTAAAGATTGGATTAAGATTTGGATTAAAGATTAGCTAGATGCAGTGTTACTTGTTTGATCGGCCCTCAAACTAGCCCTGACTTTCAATCCCCATTGATCACATGTAGTTTAGTTATGAGAAAACTCAAAAGAATTAAGCTTGCAGACAAGGTTAAGCCATGATGTCCGAGAAAATAAATCTTTATTTCTCAGGTGGTATACCATGCAGATCTTTTTTAGTGCTTCGTTTGTGCAGATTTTTGCCGTTAAAACTATAATTTGTGCTGCTTTTGTCTTTAAGATCTCATGAATCTTGTGACTAGAAGTCTCGACGCATTGCATTTCCAGGTCCCACGGCCATCTTGTATGACACACCGGCAAAAAGTAAACATAAACAACAATGGACAGTGAGAAGAGCAAGTCCTGGATTTCTTATTACAAGTTGAAAATCATGGTGAAAAAAGGGAAAATAGAGTGAACTGACTGACTGGATCCCTATAAACCGAGATAGTGGACCATGGACCCCAATGAGGTTCTGGAGTGTTAGGATTAACCTTAAGTCTGTTAACCCTAATAATACCTGCCTGTTGTGTGTCATAACTAATGTTTTCTCAAGTATTTTATCCAAATAGGACAGTTCCTCTGACAGGCTATAGTTCTCATCTTCATTATGTATGTGGTAAAGATTTGGGAATGGAAGAGAGCAGTGTCCTTTAGTGAAGAACAAAAAGTAATATTTTAATAAGGCTGGAGCCATGGAGAATGTCTCTTCATTTACCGACGTGTTTGATCTAATTATGGGGCATTCTGGAGTTGTATAAAATGCTTCTTTAACTGAGATTCGGTGCCATTTCAAGAGATGTGGCAAGTGCTGCCTTCTGTAAATCAAAGCAAATTCTCTGTACTGAGTAAGATTACAATTTCTCACAAAAAAAAAAATCTGTTTTCTGTCATTTATCGTGGTTATTTAATACATATACATTAAGTGTTATTTAAAGAGTTTCTAAAGAGTGATCTCTTTTCAGAAAAATAGCCGCAGATAGAAAGCTTTAAGGTATAAACACAGAGCTTTCATTAAACAGGGGGGAACAGTATGAGATGTGTTTTCACTCACTATACGTTTGATCTGGTGATTTAATATGGTGTTATTAAATCATCATAGGACTAAAATGATCTTCAGATCAAAATTTTTAACTTGCTGTGGAGTCTAAAAGCTTTTACCAGTTTTAAATCCAATTTCTAAACTATTAGAAACTACTTTAACATTTGGACTAACTATGATAATGACATGGTTGAATTAGTCTGAAATGCTTTGACAGACAACACACCAGAGAGAGTCACATAAATAATATCATCTTTAAAGAGAAACGTGATTGTGAAGATGACTAATAATTTCATAGTTTTAGTTGGAATTAACCAGACTGACCTCGATGAACTATCGAAGCAGGTTACATCCAAAGGCTCATCAGAGTATATAGATATTGTTTATGTATTCTTATCACCTTCACAAAGTAATTGTTTTTTACAGAACTTTTAATTTGCATTTGTGTTTATTTATTGTTTTTTTTTTTCAGGATTGGTAATCCTGCAGTAACATTGATAGTGATCCATAAACTGAGACAGAAGAATAGCTTAAGAATAATAAACAGTAATTAATCAGCATAGAAATAAAACTGTAGTAAAGTAACTAAAAAACATTTAAATCAACACTGCTGTCTTTGCATCCATGTCCATCTTAATGCTTTCAGGAGTGATGAGCTTAGAAATTAGCAGGTTGGTCAGTGATGGAGGAAACTAGGTCAACCTGCTTGTCAGTCTTTTAGCTAAGAATAGTTCATAGGGTGTACACCTTGGTGTATCATATCTTTAGACTTTAAGGGGGTCTGGCAGATTTGAATTTTGAAATTTAGACTCTCTCAAACGCTGTTTTCTGCAATTTGAGGTAGAATGCAACAAACTTTTGTCTTCGTTTCAACACTACTTTAGTAATGATTAGGGTGATTAATTTAGTAATGAAGTATGTGTGCTTTATTAGAGGTGGAAATGTCATAAGGAAGACATAAGATCATTTTTAGGTACAATGTTATGTTTCACAGGTCAATTCAAACAATCAGAAAGTGTAATGCTATGTTCGCACTGCATTTTCAGAAGCAAAAAAAGCGCCTGCTGCTTTATTTTTTATGCTTTCGCATATTAAGGTATGTAAAGTGTATCCAGATGCATCTGATGCTTCTGCTGCTCCTGTTTTCAGTGGCAGAGAGTGGCTTTGCTATATTTGCTGTGATAAGTGGGTAAAAAAGCAGTTTGAATATATGTTTAAGTGAGAAAGTCCACCTCAAAATATTGTCTGAGTAGTCAGTTCATCAAGATTACAATCCTGCCTTCAAATATTATTTTGCTGTTGGAGCCTCTCAGACCCACACATACAGTAGGGACGATGCGTTCACATGGAATCCAAGCAGCAGCTGCCTCTTGGGGATTTTCCTGTACTGTTTGTGGTGGCTAGAAGTAGATGTTAGCATTTTTTAGGTAGAATAATACAACTTGTATGAGCCTGTAACAAGTACTGCTCTGATCTTCATTCATTTTCACACAATTAGCAGCTGATGACCAACATTTTTATTAAACCTAAAAACATACAAAGATCCATTAATAAATCCCACATAACCTAATGCACAGTGTGATAAAAAAGGAAAGATCTACAAAAACACAAAGTGATTCTAAACTAAATGCAGCTAGATAAAGCCAATAAAATGTAACGAGAAGATACCTGTAATAATGTGTTCTAACCTTGGTGGCTCTGGGTTTGATATTAGATATCCTGATCACATACAGTGAATCAAAACACATCTGATATTGTTAACTACAGGAGCTCATTCAGGTCTGTGGTCCCCTCTTGAAATAAGAAATCCAGGACTTAATCTTCTCACATTCCATTGTTGTTTATGTTTACTTTGGCAGGCGAGTTGTGCAAGGTTGCCACAACAACTGGAAATGCAATGCATGGTAAACTCTAGCCTTATATCATAATTAAAATCTTAAAAACTAAAGCAGTACAAGTGACAGTTTTGATGGCAAAAATCTCCAGAAATGAAGCACTAAAAATTGCAGATCACTTTGGTTTAGTGGGGGGATGGTAACCTCTGGATGACCTAAAGAAATAATCTTTAATATGTCTTACACAAAGTAGCACAAAAAATAATTTTTACTGCAATAACTGCACTAACCATTTAGTCTATTTGCAGTTTTTTTTTGTTTGTTTTTTTACATGGGTGGGTTGTCAATTCCACCACCATTTCAAAGAATAAATATTTAAACACAAGTTAGTGTAAAACAAAAAAAAACAAACCAGTATCTCAAATAATCTTTATTCTATTAGGGCCATTTTACATTGAAACAAACATGTTAAGTTTTTCATGAAATATATAATTTATTCCATTGAAAAATACCTTTGAAAAGATCTAATATAATATAATATATAATTAAACAGATTAATGATTGCCGTTCATTAGTCGTACATAGGTTATCCCCTTAATTTCTCTTATCGCAGTTTACTTGAACTCACCCCAATCTTTAAATACAAAGTCTTATGCTGTATTTCCCATTTTTATAGCTCTTCAAGAGGCTCCAGAGTGTTACACAATAACACAAATTGTTTCCCATAGATTTATATCATGGTTAATAATTAGACTTATATAAAGCTGATTAATATCAACGACAGCAACAGGGGTTTGAAAGAATATATATCACAAGTTAACAAATAACCAATAAATCAAACCCTTGTGTTTTGTAAACATTAATAGTATAGTCCCACCCCCCTCGGGCAGCAGCAACGGCAGTGAGAGTTTAAGGTGTTGGGGTCTCAGTATGAAGTCTGTCCTCCAGGGACCTTCAGCACCAGCTGGATGACGGACAGGTGCTGAATCCCATACTCAGACAGCAGGGATGAGTCTCCTTCCAAATGCTTGTCTGTAAAGATTAGTCGCATGCTGTCCTCTCCTGTGAACAAACAGACACAAGAGCAAATATATAGGACAGTTATCATCACGCACACCAATAAAAGGATTATATTTCCACAACATACATGTACACACAGGCCTATCAAAATACTCCAAAGTTTTAATTTATCTGTTTATACTGTTGTATTTGGCTGAAGGGACTTAATTGGATTTTTACTTTCAGTTTTGATTTTAAACTTGTTTTTGTATGCCGAATGTGTTAGTATCATGAAAAAAACTTAAAAATATAGCTGTTTCATTTATTAATTAGAAGTCAATTGAGTTCTGCAGCTCATTGACAATCACTGTTAAAGCAAAAAAAAAAAAAAAAAAATCTAACATGTCTACATATGATAGTAGCCTACCTTAAACAAATCAGCATAGACCTATAACTTTTGATTACTCTCTGTGTTGCTGTCGTGAGCGACTTTAAATAAACCCATAATGAACTGTCAGTGCTTTTAGTTTATCAAATCTTGTTTACCTGCTGTCTCTGGGAGCCTCTCCGCGATCTTTTCTTTAAGTTGTCGAACCGTCATTTTCTGCATCTGCTCCTCTGTGTTGCACAGATCAATCATCATCTTTTCACCCCTCAGTCCATGAACCACGACCTGGTAGATTTTGCCCATCTTTCAACCGTCTGCTGCACTGCTTTTCTCGCTGTGTTCCTTCAGCTGACTGAAGCCGCGACAAGTGACGTCACACCGAAAGTTTTCATACTTTCTATTTTCTGTTTTAATCGACGCAGGGTTTGCTGTTGATATTCTCCTTCAGCTCGCGCTGCTTTCAGCACGTATGCACCACATCATGGTGCACTTTGAACTCAAGCACATTTATATACTCTAGAACAACTATTTAAGTACTGTAACTTTATAACAGCAATATTAAAACAAATAAAAAAAATCTGTCTGTCTATATTCCAAATCTATGTCATGATTTATATATTTTTTGTAATTCTTTTTTTTTTTTCATTGTTATTACATTAGATTTTTTTCCTGTTTTTTATGGAAAGTAAACTTCAAAGGCATTGTATATTTGGATAGTAAAAAAAAAAAAAAAAAAAGAAATTCGGTCCAGCAGAGATACTTTTATGTATAAATGAAAATGTGCGCTCAGGGGGAAAAGCTGAACTGAAAGTAAAATGTGCCTTGCAAGTGACGTAGCAGCAGCTGTAATAGAGCCCGTCTCTCGGTTGCAGACAGACGCAACTTGCTACAATCTGAGGTGCTGAGCAGATCCAGGATGAGCAGACCGGGTCAGAATGAGAAAAGATTCGACCCAAGAGACACGACGCTGAAATTCGTAAACAGACCAGATGATCTGGATCCGATGCGTAAGAATAAAATATCCGGTGGTGTCTATGAGCAGGGCTATGAGCTAAAGTCAATAAATGAACGAAACTTTGAGTTTCATGATATGTATGTTTTTCGTTTTTGTAGTAATGTTTGATGGTACTGAATTTGTCCTCTGGTCTTTTAGCCCCGGAGGAAGGAGATCAGGGTCTCCGAGCTGAGATGTCCTGTGGTCATGCTGTTACTCCTCAATCTCTGACTGGGTGGTGTCGCAGCCTGCTGGATCAGGTACTTTCCAACATCTAGCCTAATTTGCTTTCATTTCAATGTTTACTTTTGTTTTCTCACCAGAGCAGTTGTTTTTGAAGTGTATACTCAGACTATGGCGAAACACTCCCTTAGCAAAAAGTAGTATACTTGAAGTAAATTCTATTAATAATACTTAAGTATAAGTATAAGTTTAGAAAGTATCTCGAACAATGTCCTTTAGTGTTCTAGAAGTATTGGTAAAGTAATACTTCTTGGAAATAAATTGGGACATTTTTAAGTTTACGAAAGTATACTGAAAGCATACTTTAGTAAACAATAAAGTAAACAATAGTATAGGCAAGTACTCCTGCCTATACTCTGGTTAAGTATATGAAATATAGTTTAGAATAAGTAAACTCTAAGTGCACTATGAAATTAGTGCACTTTTAGTGTACGTGAATAAACTACTTTTTGCTAAGGGCTGTCATGAAAGTCCAGATTAAAGAGCTTAACTGAATCCTAAATGTTAACAGTCCTATTTATAATAGAGATGTTTATACACTAGTATCTTTGACAATGGCATAACTATCAGTAAGCAGAGACTGCAGTTGCTTAGGGGCCCCCGTCACTGACATCTGGTTGGCCCCCTACGC